ATTTTGAAGAATATGAAATATTTATATTTTATACTTATTTAAAGTTTGAATTTTACCTAATTCCAGCGTTGGTCTATAAAGTCCATTTATAGCAGGTAAAATCAAATTAGGTTATTAAAACTCATCCCTTCAAAAGCAGTACTACTATTTATAAAAGGGTAGTATTTACTTTTTTCCATAAACATCGTCGTCTTCTCTTGACCTGAAAGGATCTTACAACTTTCAGAAGAAGAAATATGAGCCTATCACTATTGTCACAAATGTTGAAATATAAAGATATAATAAAATAATATAAATGAATTAATGTTTTATTGTTTTAATTAGACCACCCAGTTGACAAACTTTATTCTGATGTATTGACTTTTGTGTTTTTTGGTGAATTTAAAGAATGTACTCTGACTTTCTTAAGTATTTACATGACCACTTGTCTTCTATGGACCTAAGCCCAGTTCCTACTTTTCCTTGTCATTGTGGGCCATATGTTTTACACATGGTGACATTTCCATTCATCATATCTCTTTATCAAGTGAAAATGCAGAGTGGTCCAACTTCTCTCTGGCTCAGGTTGCTAAGTAACAGAAGGAGAGATGTATTGAGATAGAATAGTCAATCAATTCTCCTGTGAGCTGTGTGTGCATATGTGGGGACTGTTTGTCTTCCTATTGCATTGTTATATGGCTATACATAAACTCATTTTTGGAAAGTAAAGGCTGGGTATATTTTCATTGAGATGCTGACTAAAATACCCCTTGAACTTTCAACACTAGACAAAATGAGCATAACAGTATTATTTGGTAACGCATAAGTATTGTTTTTCTATATTAGCAGGTCTGACATCAAATGAGGATGAAAAATATATTTTTATTTTAAATTTTTAAAGTGCTCCAAATGTAACAGTCCCTTACTTCCTTTGCCTCCCACAAAATGGTACTTTATGTTTTTAAATAAACCAAATTCTGGAAAAATATATTCAGAAAGTCTGTACTCACTGTGCAAAACTTAAACACAAAAGTTAGTCTTCTTTAATCCTAGGTTCTCTGGCATACATTCCGGGCCTTTAGATGTGTTTCAAATGGTGTGTGCATTGATGTTCTAAGTAGCGTGTGTAAGTTCATTGTTTCATTGTTTGTTTGTTTTTTCATGACAATAAAAGAATCTTGAGTTTGATATGTTATCATGACTTTATTTTTAATACAAGCATGGCACACATTTGTTCTGGTGTCATGAGTTGCCAGAACACTCCTATTAAACACTATTTAAACTCTCTGATTGTTGCAAAATAATATGCAAAATATGTATCCTTTACCCTGAAAATTGAGAGAAAGGGTAATTTGTTTCTGCCAGACAGCGAATGAAATGAAACGAAATGTGTGTTACCAAAGCTTGCAGTGGTCTGTTATTACTTAAGTAACAAAAGCAGAGTTTCACCTAAACTTCTGCCTGCATGTCGGCTGTGTTTCTCCCTCAGGTCTCCTTCATCGAGAGCTGGAGAAATATGCTGCTTTCATACACTCCATTGATTTTGCCCCGGAACAAAGACGGACAGAGAAAGATGGAGGCAAGCGAAGGAAACGAACCCTGGATGGAAGAAACCAATGGTGAATATGCTTTTGTAAACGTCTGGCATAGATTCAGCTCAGTTATTGGATAGAGCAGGACAATGAGCGTTTAATTTAAATTTGCGTTAAGGGCGATTCCAATGTGGGGAAAGTGCAGGGCGTAGAGCAACAGAGGTGGAGCAACAGGGAATAGTGGAGAAGGATGGAGGCAGAGGGAGAGAAAGAGTGGTGCTGGTGTTAAGGTGATTAGTCTGGTGGGTTGGCGATAGAGAGAGTTGATCAATAGCCTATCGATCTCCCATTGCGAGTGTCAAGGGGGTAGTGGGAAAGTGAGGGAGGGTGAAGGGAAGGATAGGGAGGGAGTCGCTTCTAGCTTGACTTTTAAAAATCCTTTACTCTGCGGATGACAAATAACTCAGTAGATTGTGAAGAAAATGTGGAAATTCTTTTTGGGCATAGTTTCTTTGTAAGTCAAATATTACCTTGTTTTGCAAAATGTAAAGTGAAAAATCTTTCACTTAAGGCTGCAAGAAAGTTAAAAAGAAATCATTTTGGTGGGTTAAGGTGTGTGGAGAAATATATCGAGCCAGATGCAGAGAAGTTACTTAGCAGACCATTACTTCAAATAGTTCCTCCAGGCTGAAATATTCACTGGAGCAAGTCCCACTCAATATTCCCCCCAAAAGCCCTTTTAAATGCTCTACAATGGTTATGTTAAATCGGATGACAAATTTGATGCCAACAAAGCTTTGTACATAACTTCTCGCAGCAATGAAAAGATAAATGTGTGATGGTGTCTTAACTGTAAGGTGTCTTCAGTGATTAAAGAGCAAACAAAGCTAGTGAAAATAATGAGGTGGTGACAAACACGGCTATTAAGCATACAGTCCCCTGGGCCTCTTTCCAACTGAGAAAAATTAATATACACTGAGAAAATGACTTCGAATGGTGCTAACAAATACTATGACACTCCAGCAGCCGTCTTGTCTTTGCAAATTCAGTTTATTGATACGTGTGTGCCAACAAAAGAGGTCATAGTGTTACAAGGTGTGACACTCCCCTGTGTAATCTGCACCAATGGGGACATTGTAAAGGGAGGGAGGGTCACAACCTTGAAAATGTCCCAAACAAAAGAACATACATGTGAGGTGTGCACAGCTTAAATATAATAGTCTGGGAGGCATTTGTTAGGTTAGCTTTTTTTGTTGTAGGAAAATTTGTCCTCTGCATTTGGCCCATCCTTCAATGATGCGGAGACAACCTATCAGGGACCCATGTTCAGATCTTGAGGTAGACTTGGTCAGGACTATTTTAGCTGGAGGATGTACCTGTTGTACATGCTATCAATTGATGGGGGGAACCAGACTGCCCAAATGAAACCCAGACAGACACTTGGAGAAACACAAACTCTGTACAGGAAGGCAAGGGGAACCAAATCAGTGAGGCCTGTTCTTAAACCTGCCTATGGAAATATTAGATTTTTCTTACTAGTTTTTCAGTAGATGGTAATGCTCAATATCTACCTAGAGCTGTACTAGTCTACCTAAAGAATATCCATCTAGCACAGACCTATAAAAAACACTGAAGTCAACATTTCTAATTGATATTGCGTAACTTAGCACAGGCAAAGAAATCACTCTTTCCTTTTTATGTCAATGTTTTTTAATTTTGCCTCCTCCTCTATTCTTCATACATCTACTGAACTCTCTTACAGCAATCTGTTGACAGAGAATGATGTATTCTCCTTGCATCAGAGCTAGCTCTCAAACAGCCATTATCATTACTGATAGCGCTGATTTCTCTCCTCATTGGGACAAATGAAGTGGGCTTTCAGTGCGTCCTGTGATGTGGAGGACTGCTGAACAAATGGCTCCTTTTATGGCATTTTGACTCTGCTTCTGCTGCCTTATGTTCAGTTAATTTTCTCCTTTATGGGCAGACTCTCCCCTTCTAATGCCCTTGTTTGTTTTGTGGCACAGCACTCCATGAGCCCCCTCTTGTCCATGCCACCCTGCCCCCACATCCACAGTCTCTCAAATGACTGTAGGATATTGACATGTGATGGACCTGAGAGGCATACATCATGAGGAGAAGGAGGAAGGCTAACACAGGAGGTCTACTACCTGGTCTACTAGTACTAAGACTTTATTTAAAGGTGCACTATGTAACTTTATGGTTGGGGCTCCGTCACCTATTTGTTTCTTTGGATATGATATTGCTCTGCCTGGAATGTTCCATACTATGAATAAATGTACGGTAGAGCTGTTTAACCTGTTATTACAGGTGGTTTTATAGATCAGAATACCTACAAAATCATGCATTCTGACTGTGAGGGGGGTCGCCTCTCCACGGATCTGTTTTGGTCTTCATGAAGATAGAAAGGTTTAATTCCATACGCCACATAACACAATAACATTTCCATGGAGAAAGGCATTTGACCCTCCACTAGAAAGGTTACACAGTGCATCTATAATACTTATTTGTTTTAAATGTTAATTTGAACTTAAATAACATTTCAGTAGAACCAGTCTAACTTTGTGTTTGTTTAGTGTAAATATTTGCACTTGGCGAGGCTTTATTTTTTTACATGATTAGCTTCCTTACTGACTTAGTCAAAAATCACCAGTTGAAGCACTAATTTATACTAAAAAAAAAAAACAATATGAGCATTTCAAATTCATCTCCATGCACTTTCATGTTTATGTTTTATAATTGTCTATTTATTTACTATAGGTTACTGACCACATGACCCAAGAGCAGGTGCACCTCTAAAGCAGATTCTTATGGTTGTGCCAAAAGGCCAGATACACTTATACGCAAAGGGCAGATGATGATAGCCAATCAGCAAAGTGCTTTTACAGTCTTCTCACGAGACCCGACCCATGACCTCAAATGACCATTCAGCCTAAGGTCACTCACTAAGGGTCAGAGATCATCACAGTGCACAGAGGGGGGTTTCTATAGTAACCACATTTCAAATATATAATGCTGGAAAGTTTTTTTTGTTTTTTTTTATATAAGATAACCAAAATGATTTCCAACCTTTCCTTGATAATCACTGAGACGTTCTTGGCATTTCTCTGTTCATTTCTTCACAACCACATGGATTCAAATCCAGATTGTGACTGCCAAAAAACCCCCCAAAAAACTTAATCCTGTATTCTGTTTGGTCATTGCCATGCTGAAATACTCGTCTATCATGTTTTTTCTAAAGATAATTGTGTGGTTAATTCAATAACCTGTCTATAGTCCTATAGTGTTGCCCTTTTTATGATCTGATCTCTAGTAGCTACGCCTATAATGGTGCAAATGCCAAGAATTTTTGGCTTCAGCTGCATCTTTAAATACGCAAACAAACTGTCTCAACATGATTCACTCCCATAGACTTCACAGAACAAGTTGGGTGACTGCTATTGGTCTAATTTCTCTTCAGACTACAACATGCCGGATGAAAGAGACAAAGACTTTGACGACGCGACTTTGTTCCTCGGCAGCTATGGTCCTTTTCAGATTGCATTAATGCTTCTGCTGAGTATATTTATTATTCCCTCTGGGTATATGGGTGTGGTGTTTGTTTTTGTATCTGATACTCCAGAGTTTCATTGTAAAGTGAATGAAACATGGAACAGTAGTTATGTGACATTCACAGAGCGCAGCAGCTCTGTAGGACCTGATGGCTGCAGCAAATACAAAGAGAGACTCAACTTGACCAAAGCATCTCTGAGCAGTGACACGGAGGTTTGTGAAGATGGATGGGAGTTTAGTAAAGACATCTACACCACCACTATTGTGTCCGAGGTAACATTTCAATTGTTTTTTGGGTTGATTTTTGGGTCGGTGTTTTGCTGTTTTTACAATGTGAACATGTTCCATTGCAGTGGGAGCTGGTGTGTAACAATGCATGGAAAGTGCCCTTTTCCTCCTCATTATATTTTGTTGGAGTTTTGACTGGGTCTTTTGTCTGTGGGAACCTGGCAGACAGGTAAACATGCATTTAGGTTCTGTTACACAGAGCTAGTGTATTAAGGGTGTATACTTTTATAAAATAGCCTTTATTTGTCATTTATTTAACATTTATTTATTTATCTATCTAATTTAAAATGTTGTAACATGTGCACTGTATCCTGTCTACTGATGAATGTTCTTTTTCACAGGTTTGGTAGGAAGCCTGTGTTGTTTTTTACTATGGCTATACAATGTGTTACTACTTTGATCCAAGCTGCATCTGTCAATTGGGTCATGTTTACCACGTTGAGCTGTTTGAGAGGATTTGGACTGACATCCAGCTTCACTACTGCCCTTATTCTGGGTAAAGAATACATTTTTATATCTCATTTGTTGACCATGGGTCGCAGGATACTGTATTAAATGATTGATTTAATGAATTCTGTTCAGGAGTTAATCATGTAGATGTGTATAACGAGCACATACAAACATGATCAAAGTTTGGGAGTGCTTTTTAGAGATTTAGCACTTTTGAATGTAAAACTGTATTTTGCTGAGATAAAATTTTGTTTAGGAAAACCATAACCCTGTTTGGGATTCTGTGTGAGCTGTTTTCAATAGAGAAATGTGTCAAAGTGAATAAAAGAAAAAGTATACTTTGGGACCTGCTGAAATTACTGGGGGGGGGGTCAACAAATTTATTCAATTCAGCACAAATTTGTATCAAAATCTCTATATTTGAAGCCTTATATATATGTGATACTTTTACTTATACTTGAGGGTTTTTTTTTGTTTTTTTGCTCTGGTATCTGTACTGTTGAGTACTTCTTCAACCACTGCAAATAATTTCTGATCTTTACTTCTTTTTCCGTCTGTGTCTTCAGGGAGTGAGGTACTGAGACCCAAGGTTCGTATGACCTACACCCTGGTTCTGAGTGTAGGTTTTGGGCTAGGTTATGCCGTGTTACCACTGTTCGGATACTTCATAAGGAACTGGAGGATGCTGCTAGTAGCTTGTTCCATACCTGGTTTTTTAGTTATGCCATTGTGGTGGTGAGTTCAGTTAGAATTTACATTTTTTATAGAACAGCTACCATTGTTCCAGAAAAAAACACCACTCTCACTTTTCAGGGTGGTACCAGAGTCTCCACGATGGCTTTTGCAGAAAAACAGATTTAAAAAAGCTGAATCTATAATCTGCAAAGTAGCCAAAATGAACCGAGTGCCTACCCCTGATGTCATATTTACATCTAAAGAGCATTTGGATCAGATGGTAATGTAATTTTATGAGTTTTTGCACAGAAGAAAGGCATTTTGTTGTTGACTTACTTTGTTGTTCTGTTTTAGAAATCAAATAAAGACAAAAGTGATTCATACACATGTTTGGATCTAGTACGCACATCAAACATCAGAATCATTACACTAATGGGGACTTTCATATGGTAACAATTGCTGCTTTTATTGTTTTGCTTGTCAGCTATTCAGTGTAATTTTATCAATCAAATTTTACAGGATTATATTAAAACCAAATGTTACCTGATTTATGAGTTCAAACTGTTTTATTTTTCAGGTTTACGTGTATCTTGGTCTTCTCTGGCCTATCTCTGAATACAAGTAACTTAAATGGGAACAAATATCTAAACTGCTTCATCTCTGCTGTGACTGACATTGCAGCTTATGTTTTGACTTGGTTCCTGGTCAGTAGAGTGTCAAGGCCTATCTTCCTCTTTGCTTCCTTGATGTTTTGTGGTATTTTGCTTCTAATAATCCAACTTGTTCCTGACGGTGTGTATTGTGCATGAATATATCTACTGCAAATCAACAGAAATCTTCAGAGTTTTCTTTTTAACAGAAATGGACGCTGTGTTCCAAGCACTAGCCCTGAGTGGAAGAATGGGGATTTCAGCTGCTTACACTTTCACCAATGTGTTTTTTATTGAGCTGATGCCCACCGTTATCAGAAACACAGGACTAGGATTTTTTTCTACATCTGGACGAATCAGCAGTATTTTGTGCCCATATATAATTTTCTTAGGTAATGAATATCATGTTAGAGTAATTCACTGGAGGCCTATATTCATAAATAATGTAATGTGGTTGTGTTTACAGGGATGTACAACAAGCTCACTCCATACATTGTCTTTGGCTCCATGAGTGTTATGGCTTCTATATTCACGTTGTTTCTGCCAGACACTAGAGACATCAAACTACCTGACCTAATAAACCAGATGCAACCAGTCCGTAGGTAGGCTATACCTTTTGTTTATGTTTTTATTTCATAGTATTGTCATTAGCTACTGTCATTAGCTGGCACTGATGTGAACTGATTTATTAAACACCTTTTTGAATACTGTCTGATCACAACACTGAGCTTTAATTTCACATAACTGTGGTCAAATGAAGCAAGTGTGACTTTTAGGCATACTATTCTTTCTTAATTTCCCTTTTTGTCTTAAAGACCTTTCTGCCCAAAGAAGTGTACATCCACATACAGTCACAATCTGAAAACAGAAGAAGTGGGGATGAGCTCCCTCTGTTGACAAACAACAGCAGCATTTCCTTGGTAATTACTGTTTTTCTTGTTTTTAAAGGTTTAGGACTAATATTGTAATGTATATGATGAGGTGTGTGCAGAATTGTATTTTGAACTGTTTATCACACTTAATATGTAGGCCTATACCAAGTGTTGCTTAAGCAGAACTATTCGTGTTGACCTAAATAACAATTACTTTACATAGACAGTATAACATATGAGCACCCTATTGAGCTTCTTTGCATATCTAGCAGTGATTTTTTTAGCGACAACTATCAAACGACACCGATCAGAAAGAATTTGTAGAAGATTACAGGTCTTTTCCACTAGGGGGCGTAATACACCATACAGAATATGTTTTGCCAGGTACTAAATGTACTAATACATTCAGCTAGAAGAATTCTCTTATTTCAAGTGCATGTAACCATTTTTTTTTCCATTATACTGAAAAATACTGCCCAACTTTATTAACTGTCTTAAGAAATTAAGAAATTAATATCTGCATTCTTAATAATGAATAACCATAGTGTATACCTTTTTATTGCATTCTCTCAAATATTTTATAAAATGTAAATAATAACTGAAAAAGAAAGAGCACATCACAATTTGTAATCATGCAATAACCCTAGCAGTAGACCTACTTTAGCATTATTTAGTTTAAGGTTTTAAGGAACATGGTCTGAAGGACATCGTGATCTTAAACTACAAGAAATATCAGTCTGAAAATGCCTTTTTGTTATTCTACCTTATATAATTCACTCTCACCTCGTCCCTTTCCTTGTTTTTACCACTAGGGGGGGTATTTGTTGAAGAAAACCAGACAAGACAAACCAACTGTGTTTAGATAAGTGCACAGGGATTCTACTGTTTGGACCAAAATAAAATATCTCCCACGAATGTCTGTCAACTTCAGGCTGATAGTGCTCGGCCTTGACCATGGGAAGAAAGATGTAGTGTTCTGAATGTGGGTGGCAGTTTGAGCGCTGGTGATGGGGTGATGGGGAGGGGGGTCTACTGCAGCAGAAAAACAGCAAACTCTGCAGTCATTAATATGCAAATATGCAAATTAGGGCGTAATTAAGATTGGGCGTTTGTCAGTGGCTCTTTGATTGCTGATGAATTCCAATCTGCAAGAAAAAGGGGGGATGGGATGAGGAGCTCAAAATTTGGAAGAAGAACAGGATATTGTCCCATCTCTGCTCCTAAAGTGAGCAAATGAGTGAGCTCCTTATACAGAAAGAGAACAAATTAATTTATGTCAACAAAAAATACTTTGATTCCCTTAAATGTGGATGACACTTGGCAGATGCTTTGTGTAGTGTAGTCACAATAAAGACATGTAAGCAAAAGAAATTCATAACATATGTGCATTTGATGTAAAGGCACTATCGGAATTATCAGTAAGCATTTAGTGTGAATGGAGCCAGAACCACGGCATGAAGCCAGGATGATTTAGGGTAATTAAGAGTGATGGAGCTGACCCCTGTAGAGAGGAATGTGCAGGTATCTTGGCAGGTGGTGCAGTGTGACACAGTTATTTTCATTTCATTTCGGGAAATGCAGCTACCATTTACACTTGAGCTCCCTCCAGTGTTATTGCAATTTTTAGTAGTCCCTCGACACTTGTACATCTTCCTCTCTGGCATATGAAAACAACACATTATATGTGAAAAACCATTAATTATTTGGATGAATGGGGAAGAACAGCTGCTTTTGACATCTTTTGCCCAATGACATGCCATTACACCACACACTGCACTGGGGCACGTCACTTTCCCAAGTCTGGTGTTTGTGGGAGGAAATATATATATATAAACCTTTTTCATTTATTTGAAATGGGGGCAACAGCAGCTGATGTCTTGGTGTTTGTTATATGATGAGTGGTTAGTGCTCTAGTGTGTTGGTGCTTGCATGTGTGTATGAGGGGAGAGGGAGGGTGAGAGGGGGGTATTTTTGCAGGAAACAGGAAACCAGCAGTCATAACAGGATGCCTAAGGTTTTCATACTGTACCTGATGCGTGGGTGGCTGTTTGGGGGTAACCCATTTAAGATGCTGCAGTGCTGGTGTAGAACTGAGGGAGCCCAGGAAAGAGTGGGTGGAGTGGAGGGTGAACTCTTTGGGGTTAGGGAAAAAGGAGTCCCACTCTATAAATAGCTGCAGTTTTTGTTTGATGATTTTATTCTGTTTTGTTTTGCTTTTTGCTTGCATTTGTTCTATTTTAAAAGCCTATATAACCCATTGTAAATCCCTGTACACGTGAAGATGTCACATGAATTCAGTTAAAGACAGTTACTTGTCCTTGGTATTTATGAAATAAATGAATAGTATTTCACATGGTAAGAATGTGTCTCGTTTTGTGAAAAACAAAACAAAAAAACATTAAAGAATAACTGGCCTGCATGTGTTTAATGACAAACAGGTGTATGTGCAGATGCATGTGCGTGATGGCGAGCATGTGTGTGTGGAGTGTTTGTGAACCACAAAGTGAATGGCTGAGTTTTCTCGTAAAGGCCAGCACAGATGTTATTTAGGTTGTTTCCCCTCAAAACCAATTGAGGTTTTCTCCTGAAAGTCTCACAAATGCATGACATGAATTTAAGTCGTCTACTAAACCACCGAGGTATCTCATTAAACAAACAAACAAACAAACAAAAAACGTTTGTCAATCAAGTCTACAAAAGCCCATGAGCATAGCCCCCTCCATAGTGTGCACTCCTATAACTGCAATTAGACCATCTATATATGGCAACATGTACATTTTGCAAAACATAACATTTCATCTCTCTTTCAGTCGAGATATGTTGATAACTGTGTTACCATACTTTGGATCAGGTTACATCACTAGATAAACGATCATAAACCCATTAAATTATGCCTAAAGACAGCCGACTTTCTTCAAACTTCACCTACAATTAAAAAGCAGGCAAGCTCAAAGCCTATTAGGGCGTTTCATGTGCCACAGTGCCAATCAAAATTTGGTCGTATCCAATTGGCCCTCCCTCTAATATATCATTCCATCTTCTGCTGTTCTGCAGCGCTTTCCGACGTCAACATCCGCGAAGCGATATAGTCCTCATCAGGTTCATTGATGCGAAACTTGTTTAGTTCACATCTCTTTTCGTCGAATTAACCGCGACATTATTTAGGCACTATCCTGTTGTGGATTGTTAAGAGACGCAGTTATGAGTTAGGTTAAAGTTATGCGAGTTTGAGTGAAATTGGACACCGCTGATGTTTTAGCGTTCATGTCCTCCAGTAGGCTGTGCCGCGGAGTGATACTCCATTGGAACCGACAATGTGGAGGCTGGTAATGTCTACTTGGAAAATGAAATGCTTACAAATTAAAGTATAAGGGACAGGGTACCTCGAACGTCATGAAACGTGTAAAGGACGCAAGTTGAATTTTGTTAGTAAGATACTGTGACGAGACGACGGTGGATTGTAGAACTTGCTTTTCTTCATCTTCATCAAAAAGCCCTCACTCCGGAGCACGGGGAAAGGAAGGATCCTATCCTTAACTTTGTTTTTCTGCGTTTTCCAAACAGCCCTACCTTCGGCTTGAATGCAGTGTAACTAAATCCAGGTAAATGCATTTATAAATACGCGTTTGTTACACGTGTGTGCAGCTAAATTATAACTCTAGTGTTGTTACCGGAGTAATAACCAAGTTGAGTGACGTTAAATGGTTCAAGTTGCTTTGCCTGCTACGGCAGGGAAGAGCGGGGTTTAGGATTAACGTGGTCGTTTTTCATTTCTGGTGGGCCATGTGGCATTTAAATGTGCTCATTTAGAAACAATTCAAATGTGCATTGTGAGTTTGTTTGGGTCAAACATGGTCTTTTATTTTTCATTTCGACGTGTATCTTCAACCAAGTACCGTAGCCCCATTCACTTAAAAACAGCAAAGACAACGAGAGAAAAATACCCATGTTGCTTTTAATTAAACGAATAAGAGCCCCTGCTTCTTTTTATTTTTCTATTAATTATTTAAGTGAATGTTATTGTTATTCTTTGTCATTTAAATTTGGAACGTATGCAGTTGTTAAGTTTCAGCCCAAGACGAGAAGCACATTTATGAAAAACATGAATATACAGTCACATAAAAAATGTGTTTTTGGTTAAATAAAACGGGAATAGTATACTATTACATAGTCCGTCCAGACCTTGTGGGTGGTGTGTTTTTGTATATCACGTTTTGAACACCTAACTTAACTTTTTGGGGGCCGTCTTTGTGTACATCAGTGTCCTTTTCCCCTGCTTGACTGTCAACAGGTTTAACTATTTCACATGTGTCTACAGCCTCTGTACTTTTTAAGAGCAGAGGGGTAAAAGTGGTGACTGTCCACATCTCTTGTTCCAGTGCCAGATCGTGATGTTGTGGTATTTGGTCCCGGGCCTCATGAATACGCCTGGCCTGGCCGGG